TCTCTCTCTCTCTCTCTCTCTCTCTCTCTCTCTCTCTCTCTCTCTCTCTCTCTCTCTCTGTGTGGGCCCTAGCGAAATTCGCTAGAGTGTCCGGTGGTCCGTGGGGGGTTTATCTCCCTACCGAGTACCCCGGACTTGCGAAGATGTTGAACCCGAGGTAGGTGTAATTTTATGCAGGTGTAAATTAGTTAAGGGGGGTGAAGAACGGGAAGAAGAGAAAAAGAGAAGAAAAAAAAGTACCGGGAGCAGGGTGTAATGTGGGCCCGTACTAAATTTGGTGGTACCGGTGATTGTGCTGTTCCTGGAATTCGCTGCATTTATGTGCGTCTGTTTCTTAGGGTCGACCCTGCGTATCGCAGTAGCGGACAGTATCTTTGGGGATCGGATTCACGAGCCCAGCCTGTTCGAGTGTCCGAACGGAGTAGTGAGCTGGATCTAAATCGGAATACTTAGAAAACCGATACAGTGAAGGAGCAGAGGTGGAGTGTTTTTGGTGTATCCGCATTTACGGAGTGGATTAAGGGAAGAGCATCCGATCTCTTGGGATAGCACGAGACCAGGCAAGAGACTTCGCGTAAAGGTAGGGATGCATGTGTACTGATGAGGGGGTCAGAAGGGAAGGAGGGAAGATAGTAGGAAGGAGGAGATGATGATCAGCATACTTGGTAGAAGAAGCGGGACCGGTAGGGTGAACCTGATGACGAAAATATTTAGTAAGCTGGAATGGCGGGGGAAGGGCAGCGTCGTGAAGCCGAGGGAAAGTCGAGGTCCGAGTAGGAAGGAGAAGAGTTCCAGCGATCAGAGAGCTATTTCGAAGATTGACAGAGGCAGCGAAGCAGGGGGGGATCGAGAGGGTCGGAAAGCAACAATGGGCGGGAAGAGAGCAAGCTCGAGGGTAGCGGTGGAAGCTGTGTACGGGGCGTATTAAAAAAACTGGCTGTGTAGTAAAAGACTTAGAACTGGGGGGAGACAGGGGGATAGGAAGAGGACGTACGTGTGTTATGTAGACGGGGGTGGATGCGCATGGAGACTATATAAGCGAGGGAGAAGCTACTTACTTGGTATCTCAAGTCGTTTTTGGAGTTGTGGATTTGGCCTCCTGATGAGTTTGCCGTATACGTCGGCAACGAAACGCGTAGAGGCAGAAAGCGTATTCTGATTGGATTTGAGGTGGTGCATCAAATGTGATTCGGGACATTGGATCGTGGTATGGTGTGGCCTCATGTCAGCTTGTATGCTCTTCTATCTTCAATCTCTCTCTCTCTC